GTCCATCATCCAACACGATAACAGAAGCTGGTGAAAGTGCGCAAGACCCGTGCGCAAACAAAGTGTCGACGGGTAAGCACGGAAACGATAACTCAATCGATGAAACAACACGAAGAGCACCACCACAATACCATTTCAGATCTCATAATCCAACATGCAGACATCGAGTCGAATACGGGCACACCCGTAGTCGACTCTTCCTGACATGAAAGGTTTGTTCATCACCCGGTACCATGAAGTGTACTCATTAATCGGACTGAACCAAGACATTCAAGCAGCTCCATTTCAAGTAGTTTAATATCAGACAGCCAAGGGATACAATATATATGTCGTCACATTCGTTCAGCGACTCTAGTTATTGTGGAGTCATCACGTGTTGCTAACTTGTGTCGCTGATCAGTCTGACATGCAAAACGGTTATTCACCATTAAGCGTAAGCTTTCAGATGTAATAAGCGATTTAATCTGTCTGCATCATAATGGTTCTTCCATACGCACAAATGCTTCAGACGGGGAAAGGTTGCGTCCTCAAATATAGGTTCAGCGACTCTAGTTTAACTTTTGCTGTCATCATTTGGGGGGGCGGTATATTACGGTAGTGCAAACAAGTATAAGACACCACGTTATTAAGACACCGCGTTATTTAGTGCGGTACCCATAAGTAGATGTAGTTACCGTGTAGTAACCATAAGTGCAGAGTATCAGACAGCCAAGGGATACAATATATGTCGTCACATTCGTTCAGCGACTCTAGTTATTGTGGAGTCATCATTATATCCAGCACCGAATCAGTCTGACATGCAAAACGGTTACTCACCATTAAGCGTAAGCTTTCAGATGTAATAAGCGATTTGGTTCGTCTGCATCACACTTCACTTGCTGTAACAATTCTACGCATGTAACTTATGTTTAAATTCCCCCGCTCCGACAACACTGATAATTTTTTTATTACTGCGGGGTACAAGAGCTTCCTCGTTATGTCTCCGTTGTCTGTTGTCGTGTCCTGACTCAGTTGAACAGGCCTTAATCTTCCCAAGCTCCAGGCCCAAGTAGCATTCACCACCCCTCAGTTATCTACTCCTCACCCCTCAGTCCATCCCCTGGTTTCATCCCCACACTCAATTTAGTCATCCCCACACTCAATTCAGTCATCCCCACAGTCAACTTAGTTTCAATGTCCGTTGGTGAAAGACCGGCTTACTATAGGACCGCAAGCCGGCCTTATAGCCAATCAATTTTTGTGGGGGACCAGTGAGCAGACTACGGAACGATCCCCAGTAACCTGAAGCTCCTGCGATTGCAGGAGCTATGCTCCCCCATTTTCAAGGACTTACGAGCAACCTCTGTCTTCTCTAGGAACCACTCGCCACGACCTGTGTGTTATGACCGCTATGTCAGAACACTCAGGTGTTCCGGTAAGTGTGTGTGTGTGTGGGCGGGTCCGATATTTTTAGAGGTGTCAAGTATGTCTTCTGCTGGTGGGTGTCTCCCGTCTCGGACAAAGTCTCGAACAGGGCGCGAGGACCCGGGCATCAGTGTCAGTGTCACCCCTGGGGGGTGGTGTGTAAAAAAATGGCCCGAGGAGGGGGTCGCAAGGTGAGTGAGAGTGAAGAGGAGAGCGGTATCGAGAGTCCGTCTTGGAGCAATGACGAGTTGGAGAGTAGTGGGGATGAGGTGAAGAGTTCGGAGGTGCAGGAAGTGTCGAGCGTGGCAGGTTTGTACGCGAACAAATTAACCACGGAGTTGAATGCGAGTGAGGATTCGTTGGATGAAGATGACCTAGAGGACCTGATGTTCGGTCTGACGGACGGTGGTGGGAACAAGCGAAGGAAGAAAAAGAAGCGACGGCGTCCGTTATATGCAACCCGAAGTAATGTAGGTCGTCGGAAGTCTGCTGCGCGTGCGACGAAAGCATTGTCTCCGAAAGCGACTGAGTTGTTGCAGGCGGCGAATAATCTGTACATGGAGGGTGACTACAAGGCTAGTCTGAGCAAGGTGGTGGAGGTAGTAAAGGAGGCACCAGGTGCACACGACCCCTTTCATCTGATGGGGTTGTTGTATGAAACGGCGTTCAACGACCCAAAGAAGGCTGTGAACGCATATCTGGTTGCCGCCACAATACTACGCTCGGACGCTCTGTTGTGGAAACGCATCGGCCAAATGGCTGAACGACTGGGCGCTGACTCACTCGCCGTCTACTGCTACCGACGTGTACTACCAGCGGGCCGGAAACGCGGCGATGTCGACGAAGAAACCGCCGTAGACATCTCCAGACTCTTCATCAAACGGATGGAGTTTCTCCGTGCTGCCGTCTACCTTCTCAAACTTCTCACCAGACACCCCGGTGACATGCTTCTCGCTCTCGAACTCAGCAAGTGCTTCTTCCAACTAGCACACTTCCGCTGCGCCGCCGTCACCGTCGAATGCGCTCTCGCCAACTGCCTACCCGTCTGCATACGAGGCAACTTCACCGGCATCATCAAAAAACACCCCTGGCTCAACCCCCTCCTGCAGCCTCCAATCCCTGCAACTCAGGACATTGAATTGCCACCCTCCGGAGAAATCCTGCTGCAAGACCACCCCCCTCTCTCGGCAGACCACCCCCCTCTCTCGGCAGACCACCCCACTCTCTCGGCAGACCACCCCTCTCTCTCGGCAGACCACCCTCCTCTCTCGGCAGACCACCCCCCTCTCTCGGAAGACCGGAGAGCGGAAGCGCTCAAGATGATGCAGGACGAGTTGGCATCGGTGGAGGTGTTGCTGGAGAACGCGGTCGTGGACTGGCGGAAGGCGGAGGACACGGAGGACGACATTTGGCTAGAGTATGAATTGGTGCCGCTACCGGCGCCGGACGCAGGTGCGATCGAGATGCTTTTTGGCCTGTTATTGCAGCTGGATGAGTCGCAGCGATGCGCGGACTTGGGTGGAAAGTTATTGGTGCAAATGGCAATTGTTGAGGGCAATATAAACCCAGACACGGTTTGGTGTAACCCGGCAGAATACCAGCGCATTCTGGTGGCGCAAATGCGGACGCTGCCGCTCAACGTCATTGTGCGATTTACCTCTGCCGTGGTACGAACAGACCGGCAAGCAGGAGGGTGGATGGCCGACCTCGTGATCGAGCGACTCGCGCAAATAGACCAAACCGCTGCCCGAGCCTTCTACGTCCAGCTCGCTGACTCGTTCCTTGCGGCTAGCGACCCCTCCAAGGCACTCACTATATACAAGGTAACTGCCCCCCTTATGTACCTTCCTTCCCCCTTTGCGCAGCCCCCTCCTTTGCCTAATGGAATTGTCACCATGAGGGTTTGTAGATGATTAATACGGCGGAGGACGCGTATGCGAAGGGCGAGTTTTGGCTCAAGGCGGCCAAGTGCTACATCAAGATGAAAGAGTACGATAAGGCGGCGGAGTTTCTGGAGGTGTTATGTCCGGATTCATTTGCGCGAGTGGACCCATCGGATACAATGCGCGAGATCACGTTGCGCGTCCGTGCTGTTGAGGCGCGATTATTGCTATGGCAGATCCTGAACGGGGAGTATGTGGTGGAAAGTAAGGAGAAGGAGGCGGCGAAGGAGCTCACGATTGACCACCGGATTCGTTTATTAATTGTGGGTTCGTCGTTGAACGAGGTACCGAAGCAGACTTTGGGGCAGGATGCAAGGAAGCTCATTTGTTTGAGAGTTGCCGTATATAGCCAGCTACTCGAAAAGGCTGCCAAGACGCTGTCTTGTTGCCGGTTCGTCGAGGGCTGGATCCGAAGCCAGCGCTGCGATGCCATCCCTTCGCCGACTATTCCTGCGGAAATAGTCAATACCTATCTAACTGAACACATGAAGCCGCTGGTCCGCAAGCCTCTCTCCGTGTCCGATTTGTGGGCGGCCCTGTCCGGCATTAATATGGACCGGCGCAGTGTGTACTCGGCGGAAGGGCCCGCGGAAGGCGGCGAAAAAAGATTGTGCGCAGTGTGTGCACACGCAGATTGCAAGCCAAAATTGAACCGATTTCTCTCTGTCTGGCGCCAGCTGGTCTGTACGGAGTATGTGGTGCTGTTGCGCGACACGTCAATTGATATGCGCCGCGTTTTGCAGGAAAGTTCGCGGCACCGCGCCGAGGCGCTGCAGAAGCAGCTGACCATCGGCAAAGGCTTTACGGAAAGCGCGCAGTTGAACGCACCCCTGCTGGCCATCGAGGCGTCGCCGAAGGATGGCTTGTCGGACGGCTTGTCGCAGGGCTTGCTCGACCGCGACTTGATTTTCAAGATGCGCGCTAAGGGACTATCAACAAGGCTGCGACGGCGCGCGGCGCATCAGCAGAAGGGCGTGCCTGCGTCGCAACTGCTGTTACACCGGAAGCTGCGAATAAAGCTGGAGTTGTTGTCTTTGGAGGACTTGCTGGGTTGGCCGGAGTACAGTCGATTGCTGGAAACGGGTACGGCCTTGTTGGTGCAGGAGAAGATGCCGGCGTTGGCAGTGGAGTTGCTGGAGTGCGTCTTGTTGAGTATTCGTTACTCGCGCACGCTTAAGAACCCCGACTACGCGGTGGAGCGGGCGGCTTTCAAGACCAAGGTGAAGCGGTTGATTTTGCGTACGGCGGTCATTTGCGATTTGTTGCGGGTGACGCTGAGCAACCTGCGAAGCCGCATCATCATCCCGAACCTGAAGCGGAATAAGATGGCTGCGACGAGTTCAGCGCTCTCATTGTACGGAATGATGCTCTTCAGTGGGACATTTAGCCATACGAGTGTGACCTCCATATCAGCGAGTGCCGAACGCGACATCATCGCCTTTAATCGTGCCTGGGTTGCTCGCCGCTTGCTGGAGAAACCGCACAGCTTCCTGCTTACGCTCATGACGGCTCACTATTGCACCGTCAGTATGCGCTACAACTTTGCCGTTGCGGAATATACGCGTGCCGTGCAACTGCGACCCGCCAACTGCGTCGCCAGTCTCTCACTCGCCGTAGCCACCATCGCGCTCTCCACCTCTCGTGGCGTCCAGGACCGGCACCGCGTAGTGTTGCGCGGATTTTCCGCTCTCCAGCGAGCCTTCCGAGTCCGGGAGGCCTGGACCAGTCGCTACACAGCGCGTCTGCAGGAATTTGCTAAGAACAAGGTCGCCAAACTGGTCGCCTTTGCCCACAACACGCCCGCCTTCATCGCCAAACTCTGCAAAGAAATCGCCATTGAACCCCGGCTCCCCCTCGAAAACAAATTGAAGATACTTAGCAAACGCGTCGTCGAGTGGACCATGGCTACCATCCACGATCTGAACACCTACGTGCAGTGCGAGAATCTTTACAACCAGGCCCGCGCTTACCACCACCTTTCCCTCATGCACCTTGCCGCCCCGCTCTACCGCCAAGTCATCGACCGACTCGCCCAACTGGACCACAAGTACCAAGCTCTCGGCCAAGTGCTGCTCAACTGCCCGCGAGGCAGCGTTGCCATCAGCACTCTTGTCCAACTCAGCAAGACCGACTACCCACCAGCCCTCACCTTCCACAAGTGCTCTCTACACAAGTCATCTCCGGATGAACCTAGTGGTAGTATTGGACCTAGTGGTAGTATTGGACCTAGTGGTAGTGTTGGACCTAGTGGTGGAAACAACGGTGGTGACGAGCAGCAAGCGTGTGCAAGCATACAGTGCAGACACGCGCGAAACCGGACGGGTCCCGTGCAATGGCCGTCGGGCGTTCACGGGATGGACGCTGTGATGCTCACTCAGGTGGCCGAGGGCGCGGAGGAGGCCTTCGAAAGCACGGTCAAGGATGTGTCGCTCAACGTCGACTCGATCAACATGGGTCAGGCGGACTATGTGTTGTTCCCCGGCCGCGCTCCCGAGGATCCGGTCGGCCGCTCGGACGTGCCGGGCACCAATGCTGAGGGTGAGGTGGCAGCCTTCTATGGACTCTTCGAAAACAAACTCGACAGCGCACACGCCCGCGAAGCTGCGATTCACCTACTCGAGAAATACCTCGAAGACATCCCGCCCTGCATCATGTTCCTCGCTGTCGACACAAAACAACTCCGCCAATGCGCCGTACTTAACGTCGCCCAAATCTCCAAGTCCCAGCGAAGCTTCACCTTAGCCAGACATCTCCAACAACAACACCTCGTCTGGGAGTAATGTTCATAACATCTCACCTAAGGCACGCGTACTACCTCTGGAACCACGACCAAGAGTCCTCCATTAATTCCGGTCCACGAAACCGGCGAAGCCAATCCGGCGAAACTATTGCAGAGTCCAACCTCGGATCAAGGGGGACGCGGCCTCGACCTACTATACACAAGAAGACTGAGCAAGGGGTTCGAATGGTCAAGAGGGCGAATGGTCAAGAAGGCGAGTGGCCTGAAAGCTCTGAGGGGAGGTGGGACCAGGAGTGTGCGAGAGTCGTTCAGGTTGTTACCTGATTGCTTGAGACCGATCTGTCTCTTTGGCCGTGATTTTATTGCATGATCGCGATCCCGGATCCCGCCCCGACATAGCTCCTTAGATCCGTCTGCCCACCCGCCCGTCCGTCTGTCTGTCGTTCCTCCCGTGCCGCTTCCCACCCATCGACGTCGAGCCGTCCGTGTTACACCCTCCCTCTCCTGCCTACTGCATATTAGACAGCGCCCTCATTGGACAGCTTCCATTTTACTACCTAACTAACTACTAGCACGACCACCCTTAACCATAATGTCATCTGCAAGAGCTGTTTGTGGGAGGGGGGGGGGGGGGGGGGGCTGAAGGACGAGGGAGCCGAACTCTCGGGGCTCCAGCGTGTGTGTGTTATACCATGAGACGAGGTCACGAGCGAGCATTTAGGTGCGGGCCCGTCAGTGGAAAGGACAGCAGAGGCGTTTCTTACTTAGCCGGTGTTCTAGGCTGCTGGACTTGCGTGGCAGGAGGACTTGTTCGTAGTGTTCGAAGGAGCCTTTGTCGGAGGCGGCCTTGCCGGCGTTGCGGACGATCTCAGAGATGCGGAGCTCATTGCCCGGCGGGTCTTGGTCTTGTCCGGGATCGCTTTCGTCTTGAACGTTCCCGCAGGTGGGCAGCACTGCGTCGCGAAGACTTTTGATGCGGCTGCGGACTTGTTCGGAGACGACCTGCGTCCCGGCGGGTACCTTCTGCTTGTTGCCGCTATTGGACGAGTCGACCAACGGCAACGACCGGAACAACTCATTCCGGGACCGGAGCGCATTGTTTGTTTCCAGCCAGCTGTGGGAGCCAATTCCAGAGACATTCTCTGGGTGGGTTATTCCAGAGGGCCCTCCCGAGTGAGTTATTCCAGAGGCTTTCTCCAAAGGCTTGTATTTCGCGTCCACCATATCAGCATACTTCGGGTCCATATACTTGACATGGATGCGTGTATTGTCAGGACTGTTCACGCGCACTTCGAACCCGGCTTTGGCCATCCGCTCCGAGGTCGGTCGGTCTTCGTCAACCGAAGGCGTTTCCTGTGCTACCCGCGCACTGTGCGGCCGCGGCGGAGGCCCGAACTCCACCTGCTTCCTCGTACGGTGGCCCCGCGCCCCTTCCGGTGGACTTCTATACCAAGCCGTCTTCGGACCTTCCCGCGTCCCGTAGCCGCCTCCGCCGGAGTCCCTCACGTACCGACCGGAACAGTGCTCGTTGCCCTCGTCACCAGGGTGCCTTCGATTACGCTCTAAGGCTCGGCTTCGTTCCAAGTCTCGATTTCGCTCCAGGTCTCGACTCCGTTCCAAGTCTCGACTCCGTTCCCCGAATGAAGAGGGCCCATGCCGAGCCGCCCACTGCTCATGGCCGTCGTAGGAATCCGCCCCAGCATTCCTTCGACTGCGTTCCAGCTCTCGATCTCGGTCTCGATCTCGATCGCGATCCCCCAAGGCAGAAGTCCGGTCTTGGTGTCGGGAGAGGGCCTGGGAGTCCCAGTGTAGACTGTCGTCGTCAGCGCCGCCTTCGGGATCCCCGATGTACCACTCCTGGTCGAGGTTCGAATGAAGGGTGACCACCGGCACGCGGCGGGTTTCGGAGGCGTCCGAGTCGTAGTCGGACGTGGACTGAGGCTGGCGACTGCGGGCCCAGAGGTGCTGGAATTCGCGCTTCTCCGTCTGTAGCGCCTTTCGCTCCTTTTCAATCAGCCGCTGCCTTTGGTCCAGCTCAATCGCGTCTCTTTCCAAACTTCGAAACGCATCGGCCAAAATCATCTCTCGACGCACCAAGTCGTCCTCCTGACTCTCCACATGCCGAATCTGCTCCATTAAAGCTTCCTCTTGAATCGCATGCCACTCAGCCCACCGTTCTTGCTCACACTGCAGGCTTTCTTTCTGGCGCTCCACATGGTCTAGCATCTAAGAAACTAATCCTGCAGTGGACACAGGGACCAGTGGACACAAGGGCCAGTGGACACAAGGGCTAATGAACACAGGGCAGAGGTCAATGAACACAGGGCAGAGACGGGGACACGACCGGAGCGTAGTTCTAAACTGAGCGTCGCTTGATCGAGTGGTCGGCTGAAAGGTGTACTCAGTGCAGGTTACTTCGACTAAAGTGCGGGGCCATGTATCCTCATCGGGCGGCATATTTATGGACCCCGGTCAGCCTAAAAGAACCCGACTCCAGTCGGAGCGGGAGGAGTGGCTGCTGACGCAGAACGGGGTGGCCGAAAGTGGTCCCACGGGGCAGAAACTAGTGAATGGCGGCACGCACCTGGATAGGAACGCGCATAAATCTGCGAGCGACGAAGAAAACGGGATGGCCGAGAACGGCAGGAACGAGAACGGAATGAACGAAAACGGAATGGACGAAAACGGAATGGACGAAAACGGAATGGACGAAAACGGAATGAACGTGGAAGAGCCACCGGAGGAAGACGAATGCGGCGACGACGGCGGCTTCCGCGTACCGCTCATTGGTGCAAGATGGAAGAAACTCATAGAGAGTCAACTAACAGATCATAAGGTGCTACCCACCTATCCACAGACACACATGGAACGTGGGTTCAACAAACAGGGGGTTCTCGCAGGGGGTCGTGGATGTGCTGCGTTCTTCCAGATGTCAAAAGACGTGGCCGTTCAAGTTGGCGAAGCCGCCATGGCAATTACGACCGAGATTTTGGGCTTCATGATTTCGGACGAAGCCTGGTGGCAACTCGGCGACCCCCGCCTGGCGACGTCCAAGGGACTGGTATTGGAAGAAAAGCATCTGCGTAATCCTCTTCACATCCTTATTCCTGCCCTTATTTCCTCCCCCAGAGCCGAGGACGGGGCTCGATTCCTGCCGTTCCTGAATGGGGACATGTGGGCCAGAAGTCTGAATGAATATTTATGCAGTGGCCGCGTTGGAGCGTCGGCAGGACGAGTACCCGTATGGGTTATTGTTGGAGTTGCTGCCGTTGGCCCGTAGTTGGCGTGGAGCGGCAGTCTCGGCAGAGAGTGAGATCGAGAGCGATTCGGAGGTGGAAGCGGCTGGACGTGGGGGGGCTAGAGGGGGGGTGGCATTGCCGGCAGGTCAGACGAGTTTGCATTCATTTTTTGGCGTGTAAAATAGATGAGGCGGAGGTCGTACTGTATCCCCGAGGTCTCGTTGACGGCTCAGCGACGCACGATCAATGTGTTTACGGCGGTGTTGTTGACGGTGGCGCTGGTTATATTTATGTTGGTGGGTACGCGGCGTGTGACCATGCACACACCAGAGGAGGTGGGAGTGTTGCACCGTGCGTTTGCAGCAGTCTCGCCGGTGGTCGATGGACACGCGGGTGCGGTCCCGATCCCGGGCGACCGCGGGGAAGACCCGGTTTCACCGCTGGTGGCACACAAGCTGAGCCACTGGGTCCATAGCTCCGTACGAGACGGACCCTGGCTGCTCATGCTCCCCGCAGACGTCAAACTCAACCGCAAGGAACAACGCAAGGCGATCGAAGGACTCCGGCTGCACCCCGGAGCCCGACCTGTGCGACGACTTAGCGACGACTGGAAGGCAGATCGACTCGCGGCCGTCAACGACGCCCTGCGTCTCCAATCCTGGGGCCCACATCAGATCGTCGATTTTCACGAGGCCGCCGACTTCCTTAGCCTCCTCAAATGCGACCGACTCGTCGTACTCTCCGTACACCCCGTGGACAGCAGCCTACCCCAACAAGAATTCCTGCGACACGCCTTCGAATGGACCGGCCACGGCCAAGACGCAGACTGCATTGTAAACCTCTTCTCTTACGAAAAACGCGAACCGCAACAACTCAGATACGACGCCGTTCTCCGCGCCATGCACCTCATGACCAGCGGAACCATTACACGGACCGACCCGAAACACACTGTGCCTTGGATACTCAGCGTCGGGTCCTCCACTACCTTCACCGGCAAACACGCCTCCTTCCGGGACCTGCTTCAAAAAATCGCCTCCGTCACCGGCGCGACTGGCCTCAAGAAAAGGCGGCTGGACAGCGAACCAAGGTGGCTGGACAGCGAACCAAGGTGGCTGGACACCGAACCAAGACGGCTGGACAGCAAGCGGAAGAACGAGGGCGGTGGTCTCTTGAACCACTTCTTCGACTGGGTGGCGGGTGAGCCGGAAGAGGTGACCGTAGCGACGCAAGAGAATCTGGACACGGAGAAGATGCCATGGCACGAGGAACCTGGCGACGACACAGTGGAGATGCTAATGTGTCAGAACAAAACCACTGTGACGACCAAAACCGGCGCCATCAGTTGCGCGGCCGTGCCCCAGTCAATGCCGCCCATGTATCGGTTCGCCTTCCTGACTGGCACTCGGTCCATGTGCCACTACAAGTACGGACCGCATGTCGGCGCGGAGATGCAGCTATATAGACCCTCTTCCTTAGCGGCCCTGATCGCAGGGAGCATGGCCCAGATCATGGACACCCGGAGACATGTGACCAACGAGTCCGTCGCCCTGGGCAAGGTACTGGCGATTATTGCTGGGCTCCGCCCCGGAGACCTGGCGGGAATATGCAAAGCGCGGAACGACGGGAACGCAGGCCGGCGGCGGTGGTACGACGCGTGCCGCAAGTACCGCAGACTGATCTCTGCACGCATCGCAGACGTGCGGCGCTTCAGCGGCAACAGCGACGTCGAGACCCTCTTCGGCTTCTCTGGAGACGCCGAGGAAGAATTTAATGAACAAGTATTTGTGCACGAGTCCGACCGAGACACCACCGAGGCACAGGAAGCCGCGCTGGCCGCTGTCCGGGCGCAGGCCAACCGCTGGCTGAGTCCCGCCAGCGAAGGCGCCTTCCGATTTTTTGGCGGCGAAGTTCCCTCCGCCGACTGGACCCTCGAAGGCCCAGACGCAATCGGAGTCAGTTGCGGACGCTGGCTCGCCGGCAGCGGGTGTACTGGCGATTTGGTCACCGCGGGCGTCATCGCGGAAGCCGCAGCCTGGGGTTGCGGCGACATGGCTCTCACGTTCAGCGGCTGCGGCGAAGAGCAGTACTACCGGTCATCTTTCCGAAATCAGGTCTTGATGAACCCCACCTGCCCCACGGAACTGTCCTGGGAGCGCAACGCCGATGGAACAGCATTTTCTCTCGATTCTTTTGCAGATACTGCTGTGAAAGACGGAGAAAGTGCCCGCGCGATCATTCGCCGCCACGAGCGCCTGGTCCATGACGCTGTCGCCACCCATGAGTCATCGACCACCCACAAGACATCCCCAACGTCTTTTTCTCCGTAATCTGAGGGGAATAATAAGCTAGCACACGCGTGTGCAATGAGCGGCGCCTGTCCTTCTGGTGGGACTCTAAAATCCTGCGGGCCCAACGGAGTATGTACGTCGCCCACGGAGCAGAGTATGATGTGTATTTGCAACTACGGGTACGTCCAAGACATTCGCGCACCAAATGAGGCTTGTCAGCGTAAGTGCTTGTCAGCGTAAGTACCTGCCAGGGTAAGTGCCTGGGAGCCAAAATACCGTCAATTTAGCCTTTGACGCTTGCACTGAAATCGAGGATCTCTGCCTGAACGGATCAACCTGCGTAACGGAGGCTCCACCGAAGCTGTTTAGCTGTCAGTGTGGTGATTCATACAGCGGCTCGCGATGCGAGATAGTGGAGAATCCGTGTGACGCTGTCCCCTGTATGAATGGCGGCGACTGTCTGTTCCTACCGTACAACGAAGATCCGCGGTTCCTGTGCGTTTGTCAACAAGGCTATACCGGTACGGTGTGTGAGCAAAAGGTATCCTACGGTATTGGCGGAGTTGGAACACCTGTAACGGGACCATGGCTCGTAGTTCTCTGGGTAAGAGACGTACCCTCCCCCTCCCTATCCCCACTCCCGGGCCTAGCCCCTCCTCCCCTCCTGCCTTGGGACCAACATTTTGTCGTTTAGATCATTTCCGTGGTGTCATTGTTGTTGGCGATTTATTGTTTCATAATGGCAGTGCTAGAGTGTTTGAGGATGCGTGTGCAGCGGATGGTGGCGAATGCGCGGAATGCATTGGTAGGCGATGGCGAGGAGGAAGGGGCGGATGAGGCAAAATAAAAATTAGCCCAGGCTGCGGATGGCGCCTAACAAGTACCGGTATGTGGGCTTTTACGAGGCGCTGGAGTCCTTGCGGGTGAGTCCGTATGGGAGCTTTATTGAGCAGTCGGTGCAGCAGGAGCTGGCGGTGTCTGCGGGTCATGAGCAAGACGCAGGATTGCAGCACGTAGTGGACGAAGCGCGACTACCCGAGGTGCTACGTACCTCATACACTATGACGGCGCTCAACTACTTGCGAGTGGAGGTCAAAGCGGGCACCTTTCGCGCGTTTTATTCCGAGCTCGCGCCCCTTTGTAGCTCGCTTCCCGCTCTCGTGGCCAATCGTCAAATAGTTTGCTCCGACCTCATAAACCATCTAAGTCGGCTCAACGCGCCCTCCGACTTGCGCCCAGTGCTGACTGTGGCACTTGCGCTTGTCCGCGACCTGGGGACACTCACCGACCCCCCGTTCGTAATCGCCATGCTCCACAAGCTCGCCGACCTCTGCAGTCGCCACAGCGAGGTCCAATTCATCCAACTTACTTTCCAAGTCCTGGCACGCATCCTCCACAGCGCTAGGACCATCGTGTTGCAGAACCTGCAGGAGACCATGGACACCTTCGTACCCCGCCTCCTTCTCCACGAGAAGCCTTACGTACGCCATTTCAGCGCCGAGTCACTCGCCTACTGCATTCGCCATCTTGAGCCCGGCTCCGAGCAACCCGGAACTCCCTCCTTGCAACAAGTCTTCAGCTACGTACTCAAAAAGTGCACCTCGCTCGTCGAAAACTGCCCCCTCAAGCAGGAGGAACAGGAACACAGGATCATTGTTGGCTACGAACCCGACGCGGGGGATGAAGAGGTGAGGGACGTCTCTGACGAGGAGGCTGCGATTCGAACCAGCGACCTGACTGGCATGGGCCCCGCTATGACGGACTCCGACACTGTGGCGGACGCCGCCGCTGTGACCGAGACGGCCGTGATCGAAGCAGGAAGCAGCTTAGTGACGGAGTGCGTGAAGACGCTAGATCATGGACTAGTCCATAGGAGGGCGGCCTTTCTATTCAACTTGTTGGACGTGCTGAGTGAGGACAACGTGGCCAGCAGTGGCGTGTTGGCAGCGATTGCGGTGGGTGCCATGCTCGGTGTCAAGCGGCACGTGGCGGACTGGGCGAGTCGGGACCTGGGCAGGTTCGTTGAGCGTTACTTCCCGCTGGGTGTGATGGGCAGTAACCTCAAGTTCCGTCTGGCGGTCTGTCTGGTAGCAGACAAACCGCGTCTTAACAAGAACTTTACGACCGCACCGGGCGTGTGGGAGAACGCCCTACCCGAGGATCTCCACTCGAACGTGCGCCGTGTGCTCCAGTGGCTACTCTCTTCGATCATGCACCATGGACCTGTAGTCAAGACACTTGCCGCCTCCAGCTTGTGCGAGGCTCTGCCCCCTCTTGTCTTCAGCAACTGGCTGCATCACGTTGGCGAGCAGACCGAGGGGATGCAGAGCGAAGAACTGCAGAGTGAAAAACTGCAAAGTGAAGGACTATTCAACCTTTGTCGACCCACCTCGGACGAATACGAACAGGCCGCGCTCCGGTCCCTAACTCGCCTGTTGCTGGCGACCACTGTGGACACCACTATCCCGCTCGAGGTTGACCCCCAGGACTCTGTCTTGGTGGCCGCGAAGGCCAAGTACCAACAACACATGGTCGCGACGGCTTTCTTGGACCAACCGCCGCTGGTCCCGAGACACCCCACGCTGGTGATGCGGACTGTGGCCTTCTTAGTTGAGGACCTGAAGCTCGCCAGTAGTCATCAGTCCGAATGGAGGGCGGAGAATCTAAGGCTTATCGAAAGAGGTCTAAGACTACTGCCGTCCATTGTGCAGTCCCAGTGCATGTCGTCACAGTGCATGTCGTCACAGTGTGTGTCGTCACAGTGCATGTCGGGTGTATCGGGTTGTGTTAGCTCGGAGGCGTTGATGGGCGACAGTGCGGATGGCTCTACCGACCCGTCGAGTGTGTTGAGCAACCTCAAGTCGCTGAGCACTGCCTTCCTGTCCATTGTCAGGCAGTTGCAGGACCCGACCCCAATGGAGGAAGCCATCATCACCATGTCCAAGAGTCATTTGGGGTTGCCTGTCGACCTTGATGCGTGTCGGCGGTTGGCGAACATCCTCGAGGTCGAGGACCCAGCGAGCCGCATTGCTCAGTGGAACTGCGTCCCTTTGCGAATCGACAACAGCGACGCATTTGTAATGGCCGGCAATGAACGTCTATTTGCGGAGAATAGGGAGACAGAGACGGCGGGTTCCGTACAGCTGCGGGCCTGTAGATGTACTGACGAGTGGGTGCAGGGAGGTGAGGTCGATTTGCTTACAGTCTTGGATACCTTCTCGTACTTCCAGGTCCTCCGGACCATTCCCTTGTCTGATATTTCTCGGTCGCGTCTTGAAGACTTGATGGAGTTGTTAGTCTCGGCGGTTCGGTGTCCGTACGTCTCGATTCGGTCTTCGGCGTTGTCGCTATTGAACGAGTTGGTCACGCATCTCGCGCAGGACGTAGCCACGAGTGCCGAGACGGATTCGCCGAAAAGGAGACGGGTCGTGGGGGACAATAGTCCTGAGTTCTTGGTGGAGGCTTGTTGCATCCTGAATGACACCTGTAACGACGTGGCGACTCTGAATGAGAAGACGACGTACATCGGTCGAATCGGTGCGATCTTGAAGCACATGTGTGGTGAGGATCGTGCTTCTTCTGTCGGTTCCGGTAGTGGTATCGATAGTGGTACCAGTAGTAGTATCGAGGTTTATGACAGTGTTGTGTTGAAGCGCAATGGCATGACCGTGAAAGAGTTTATGGTCTTAATCGGAGTATACAGTCTCGTGAACCAGTTGTCCGTAAAGTTCCAGCCGTTGTGGAAGCCGGCGATGGAGACTCTGGCCACCTTGTTTAGAGAATCCCATTTGGACCAGATGGTCCCTGCAATGACGGCGGCCATGTACATGTCTTTCGAGCGGTGCGTTTTGGAGTATGACTCAGAAGCGCGCGGCTTCCTGGTAGAGCGCCGACAGAAACTGGTGCGAAACCGACTGCAGGCGGAACGCACCTTTGGCAAGGCGGAAACATTTGCGATGATGGGGGGCGGCAAGACCGATATTTTGGGCGTGCTGTGGCAACGACAATTAGATGTATCTCTTCCTCTACCGTTGTCCAACGAAGATAGGTGGCATCTCATTGCGACCTACGTGGACGAATGCAGCGGCTACAAAACCCTGGTGAACATGCTGGGAGGTGTGCTCGCAATCTGCACCGGGGCGTCCAAGAAGCAAAAAGGACAAACACTCAAGTCCATGCAGGACACCTCACTAGTACAACTTTCACTGGAAATGCTTTGGACTTTACTTGGTGCATATGGGCTCGTGGAATCTGGCCATGTTGAATGTGGTCTGAATATAGCTCAAGGCGGGACCAAGTCGACTCAGTTGACTTTCGATACCGTCACGGCTGGTAATAGGCATATCATTATGTCCCCGCGAGCTTTCGACAAGATCCACGAATGTCTTTCAAACAGGGACCGTCTGAAATCATTGGTGCCGGTGCTAAAATGTCTTGAGGCCTGCATGCCGATGAAACATGTGTCTGAGCATTGCGAAGATTTACTTGGTCGATGCTGCTATAATCTGGACCAGAATATTTACATACAGAATGCAGCTGATTTGCACGACCTGGTATTGAAAGTGTTTAGTCGCGTTAAAGTTCCGTCTCTTTCTGTGGCGTCAAAATCTGTGGCAATAGCTAGTCTCGAGAAATATTCGCAGCTTCATTCGAACACAGTGGATTTGCTTTCTAAAATAATACTTGGTGGTAAGAAGATGAGATATGTAGTATCCGAGTATTTAACAAGACGTGACTCATTACCAGATCATGATCGTGAGGTGGCAGAGTTTATAATTACACGAGTAATGTTCTGTAAACTCCTTCATTCGAATAAGAGCGATAAGCATGGTGACAGAAGAGAGTTTCTGGTAGTTCTTTGTAATATGTCCCATAATTCTTTAAAGCAATTTTTTGCTTTAATGCTCACCAGGTTGTATGATGGCTCGAAAGTGGAAGATTTAATACCGTGGCTTGATCTAAGAGGTAATAAAAGGATGGAATGGAATGAATATTGTGACGTTAAATACAATGGTATAGAACATAGATTCATACTACATTTGCCTGACTGTAAAATCCATAAAAAAATTGGTGCTTTCTTCGAGTTACTTGAACAATTAACCGGAGCTATGGAAATCAATTTCAAACACATCCTGCTTCCATTCACTCTTGAACTTCTCGCCAGATTCTTCAAGGCTATCTATCACAAGCGTGATAATCACTTTAGAAGGATTACAATGCGCCATATTCTCAATTACATCAATCACTTATTCTCCAGCTACTTCTACGCCGAAGAGTTACTAAGAAAATTCTACTTGTCCATCCAGGAAGAATTTATCGCTACGTTAAATGAATCATTGGCAAGTTCTGAAAAAGGACTGGAATTGGAATCAGATGGAATTTCTGGTGCACTAGAGGCTCAAGATGACTCGTTGGCTTCAGTAAAACTTGCTAAGATGACCTTACCTATGAGGTTTGTCTCCATATGCGCTACTCGGAACGACGGTGGTTTATTGTGGCTATTGAAAAGCGACCCCGCATTGCTACACACGGTCTTGCATCACGCCGCTGCCTATGCTCCATCTTTGCAACTGGAAGTTTTGGAGATAGTTCGTAAGTTGTGGGACTTCGCATTAGACCAAGACACACAAAAACTGAAGGACAGATTGGATCAACAACGGATGGCTCGCTTCCAGAAATTGGCTCGCTTGAGGAAGAAGAAGGACAGAGAGATTCTAGATGAGAGTGATGAAAGCGAAGAGACCGAAGTTGAGCTTGAAGATCTCATTCAGAAAGAGAGTCCGGATGCAGAGGAATCTCGACGTCAAGCAAGAGTCCTCATAGAGATAAATGTCCGCTCCATTTTGCAGATATTTAAATCATTGTTCTCAAACGCTGGTGTTCATGCTGCTACTGGTCGCGACAGTCGAGCTATTAATGGACCTAGTAATCGTGGTCATGGTCGTCATGGCCGGGGTGGTGTTGTGACGTTGGCTAATCCCATTAATTTGTTGGCAACTCTCGGTGGCGTTTCTTGCATCCAGCATCCGAAGTGCGAAGAGGACTCTTTGATCATTTTGGAGTTGTTGGAACTATTGGTTGCCATGCTTCCCCATAGGGAGACGAAGTCTTCACCGCAGAGCCGCAGCAGGGTGGTGCAGTTAGTGGATACCATTAGCCGAGTGTTGTACGGAGTCCAGAACCTCATTCCCAAAACGGCGAACGTAAACAGATCGCTCTTTGCCATGACTACCACCGCCGTGACTAGTACCACCACCATAACTACTACCACCATGACTAGGACAGCAGATGTAATCTCTTTGTCGGTTAGCGAAAGAGTGGACAGGTTGTTAGGTGATATTGTATTCAGCTGCAATGTTGTATTACAAGACCCCTTCTTCGAGGACAATAAAGAATACCTGGGCCTGTTGATGTTGCAAGCTGTATTGATATATCATACGAATATGGACGTGGGTAAATACATGAGACGTTTACGTCACCAGAATCATCCCTCCAAGTTAGTTTCCAGAGACCCGACGGATAACTTGAACTTGTTGTCGGACTCATTCATACCTAGCATCAAACACTTGAAAGCCATGTCGACGACGGGTATATGGGACACCTTATTGGCCTACATCATATACTGTTTAAATGTTAATGGCTTGACGTCATTGTCAGAAGGTGATCCTGAGGTCCAGATTAACGTTGTCTCAGGTCTACTCAGTTTAGTAGAATGGGAACCAAATCAGGTTTTGAGTAAGGCAATCCTGAAGCGGCATAAATTCCTTCAGAAATTCACCAAAGGGAGAAACAGAGAAGCCAAACATAGAACGCATGAGGAACAGCAGCAGGAATTTGATTTAAGCTGGTCAATCGATTATACTATACTCCTAGCATCTCATATCCTATGTTTGCAAACGCGTGAACATGTAGATCTAGGTGTGTCTACGTTGCTGGTGCGTTTCTGGAATAACTTACTACAACCATGTCAATTAATTGGATTATGCAAAAAGGTTTATTCCAGTGGTATTATTAATTCGGAAAATATCAAGGACCAGAAATTGATTGAAATGATGTGGTATAATTCATATAAGACTACACAATATCTTAGGAATCATGTTTTCAAGGTCGTATACAAATGTTTGAATAATACCAATAGAAAGATTCAACTTGTTGCCCTAAATATTCTGACCAGAATAATTCAGTACATCAGCTCTGTGTCTAAGTATTTACCCGCTGCTGAATATAAATTCTTTAACTTGATGTCGGAGGAGAATATGTTGTCGGAGGAGAATATGTTGTCGGAGGAGAATATATTGTCCGAGGAGAATATATTGTCCGAGGAGAATGTGTTGTCGAAGAAAGATACAACGCCAACACTAAAAAATGTCAATTGGAGTCTCCACAGTTTATTATGTCTATGCTCATATGACGTGATTGACGACCCTAGAATCATCAATAGCTCAGGTCGTATTGGAAATGGGCAGCTAGTGGAGTATGTACGGTCATTGAGTACAAGATCAATGTCAGATCACATTGAAGTGGAAAAGGTGACAGATGATTACAGTATATTCAAAGAATTAGCGTCCGCTCAGAAGGTTACGAGACTTAGCGCATTTGCTGCTATCGGAAGCATGATTGAGCGGATTGATACGTATACATTGTCGACCATCATTGTACCAATCGCTTTGAACGAGATGATTCAGGATGCTGGGTTCTCAGCTGATTCCGTCCATACTGGTCTTGGCGAGGAAGCGTGCAAAGTGATGGTGGCGGCTTTAAATCGGTTACAGTATAACACGTGTGTGCAAGTCATGAATAAAACATATAAAGCGCTGAATCACATAAAGCAGAAGGATTACACTTCCAAAGAGGATTTATCTAGACAACAGGTTTCAAGACAAGATCTTCTTGTAAATGCTCTTGCTATGCTGGCCTCTGTTATCCCTCAGAAAATGAACGAAATCAAAAGGGCTCAATCCAATCTCATCTCTGGCTCCGACCAGACTCCAGACCAAGAACAAATGCAGCAGCTGGATAGGAAGATGGCGGCCTTGAGAGAGTCAGTAGTCAAAGTGCTGATGCCATTATACAAGTCTGCGGCTTTTCCATCCAGTGGTAAATATTCGGGCAAGGAATCCGGTGGCAAGGGGAAAGACATTCGCCCCCAGTTGGTTGGAAGCATGTTGTATTTCGTGGAGTGTTTAGAAGGCAGTGAGAGGAGAGCCCAGTTGTATTCTATAGTTGGTCATTTGGGCGACTGTCTTATAGCGAAGAAGTATGGAATTCGTCAACGAGCTCGTGAGTCTTTAGAATTTTTCATGAAGTCTGTTGGACTAGCGGATTTGCCTTTTGTGCTGGATTTACTGGGCACCAAGATGAGCAAGGGATCTGGACCGGCAAGTCTTATTGTAACTGCATTGGGAGTATTGCAAGCATGTTTAGGGTCTAATCCTCATCGGATATCTGAGACAGATATCAGGGCTTTGGACTCATGTGTGAAGCCCATTCTTGGTATGATCACATCAGAGCTAGATCGTGTAGCCGACGTCCAGAGCGCATCGGCCTTTGACGACTCTGGATCTAAAGCACGATTGAATGAAACGCTAAAACGGAAGATCGATCCCGACCTCGGTAGGTTTAGCTCGGCCGATATTACAACCATCTTGTCGATGTTCCTTTCCAAACAAGCATTGGTAACGGTCTTTGATGGTCTTACTGGGTTATTGGAACCTGGTACAGTGTTGCGAAAGAGTGCTAGTTCTCAAACCGCCATTTTCAATAAGCGATATTTGGAACGTTGCAAACAAATTATGGACGCAGCAGTCAAGGGCCTCAGCTACTCGAGCATGCTATCATATGAGGAAAAGATTGAGCTTCTTTACAACCGCTTGACAAAGAGCATTTGCACACTGGTCTTGGAAGGACAGAAGCGAGAGTATTATGATGACTTTAAACTCTTTCGAGACAAAATACAACGGGAGAAAATGGTGCTAGATTCCGAGATGTTGGATACACCTATGGACGAAGCGAAGGGAGATGACATTCCCAGACGAGGCAGGAAGAAGAGAACGGGCGTGACTAAAAGAGACGAATATTTCGCGGTTCAGCCAGGAGCCGCCAAAGGTGAAGGGTTGTTGCGGTCTATAATGGGCAATAAGAGAGCTTATGACCTTGGATTCCAAGCACGAATCGTAGGGTCGTCGTGCCTCAAGTATATGGAAAAGCTGCTCGGAAGCATTCCGAAGAGGAAGATGACTCTTTCAATGACGGAGGTACAGTACATTAATTCTATTGACACTTTCGACGAACTAGTAGGCAACTTGGTATGGCTTTGTACGGACATATATAATTCGGGAGAGACTGAATGGCACCTTCCCTGCGGCCAAATTTTCGCACAATGCCAACGGTTGTTAGTTAAATGGCCGCTGCCAAAATTGTCGCACGTGTTCGATGCGCAATCAAACGCGATTATTAAACAATTATTAAATGTATTTGCCGGCTGTCCCTTAAAGCCCAACATGGTGCAAGCCAAGGAGCTGGTGGGAGCAGCTGAGCTGCTTCGATACTACATGAAGCAGCAACGGTTTGCTGATGAGTCCTTTTCGGATGAGTTGAGGAGCAAGTTGTTAAATCAAATCCATATATTGCTGAAGAACGAGTGTTTCGACGCGGCAAGCTTGTTATTGAAGTCTAGCGTTGTAATTCTGTTTGAAGACATTGTAATGCTGATCACGAGAGAGATTCGGCGGCCCCAAAGCCGTGAATATCGCCGACAACATAAGGGAGTTCCGATTCCGGCCGAGTACGACGTACATGAGGCGTTTATTAATCTCCGGCTGTCTTCTGAAGACGTTTATAACGTCTGGTCGATCGCCGACTTGATGATCAAGCTCACTACGGTGCATGCTTCCGCCCAGGTCCAGTTTGGTAAGAATGCTATCCATCGTATGAGTACCATCGGGCTAGGTTGCATTGCTAATTTCATGGCGTACTTCCCGATGAAGCCGGGCGCGTTTACGAAGCGATTGGAGAAAATACTTGCCCAATTCAACTATGAAGAAACCGAAGGAAAACGGGCGATGATGAATTGCGTCAGCAGACTTGTCTCAAACTTACCCTACCAAACGTTCATTACGCTGACGGCAGCACCCACGTGGATCCAGCTGGGCATTTGCCTTGCTAACTCCACCAGTGATGCCACTGCTGTCACCGCTCGCAGATTGGCAGTCAAAGTCTTGCAACGAATCCAGGAGCCGAAAGAAATTCAGAATCTGCTCATGGAGACCTTCGGGATTTTGCAGTCCAATGTCAAGGCCATCCTCCACCTCCTCACGGTCCTCGTCTCCGAACGAGCCGAGGACCTTCAGGCGATGGAAATGGAGAAAATTCTCAAAGTAGCTGCCGGGGCGTACCAGCTTTCTCCAAGCAAACCAGAGTTCAACGACGCCGTGATTGCTAGAGGCTTCAAAATACCAGCACTAAATGATGAGCCAAAGTCGGTTGACATGACTGACGACGACACAGACAACCAGACGGCGCAGTGGTCGGATCTGCACAGTCCCTTAATACAGCTTTTCGATGCTCTGACGTCCTCTAGCAAATTCGGAACTTGGCTCCGGTCGGAGAGGTTATTTACTCTGTTCGCTGCCCTGTTCTCTCTTCTGGTGGAATGCTATCTGGAACCACGACCAAAGTCAGTCATGTCTGGGTCAGGCTTCCACGCCATAGCCAACATCGTAGCACAGCTGGGACAGGATGTCAACATCGAACTCCTGCTCACCTCCAACTGGGGAGCTTTGGACAGTTGGACGCAGATCTCCAAACAGGCCGGCCGGAAAATGCGCAAAGACCACACGCCCTCAGGAGCAACCTTCCTTGACTGCATCGCTCACAACACACGGGAGACGTTCATGACGTCTGACGACGTCATCCGGGACTATTGTGGTGGCGCAGGTCGAATTGTCATGGCGTTGGCCACCACCAGCTAACCACCACCCTCTATTCGCTGTTGCCCCATTTTCACGCGCGATACTTGCTTGACTTGCATGCATAGTTCATTGTATGTTTGGTTGCGGGCGAAATCTTTAAGGGGGGGGGGGGG